TTGAACTTGACCACGTGTGCTTTGCGTCCATACTTGGAGACAGGGCGGCCAGTTGGTTTGCGGCGAGTGGTGGCGCTGGGGGTGTCGTTGGTCATGGCAGCGGGGACAAGAATGGAGCGCGCGAGTTTGATCGACAAAAAACCTCCAAAATTACCTCTATAAATGAATACTTTATGTGATGGTGGAGTATTTATACATTGTAGGAGGTATTATACGCGCGAAGGATACCTTGTAAGCATTTATACTTTTATTTCATTAGTTTATATGGGAGTCCGAACCTATATGGATGTCTGGACCTATATACGGTACACGGTACTACGTAGTACATTGTATATCTCGTGTTGTCGTGGCGGTTCCAATTTTGATCCATAAGTGAGGCGATCGACATCTAAGGTTTGCGTTAACGTTACGGTATAAAGTAGCAATCACGTGGCCACGTACTGGGCGGGGGTCGAACCCATCAACAACTCGATGGCTAGCGTCTTGGGCACTTGGTTTACTATATTTACAGTTAACGTGATCGATCAGTGATGGGCCGATTTCTTTTGTCCAATAGTCTTACAAATAAATTCTGATTGGATGAAATATAAACTCTTAATGCAAATAACCTTGTAAAACATAATGGTGGGAAAAGAATTATATTTCAAAGGTTTACTCATTTGAATTTCAAGAAAATGCCGCCAAGAACGCCGTACACACATGACACGCTGAGCCTGGCCGTCGAAGCAGTTTTAAGCGAAGAACATACTGTTCCCTCTGCTGCAAGCGCATATGACATTCCGCAACGTACACTTCGCAAACATGTGTCCAAAGCCAAGTCCGGCGTCAACACCAATGACGTAACCATGGGGCCATCTTCTCTGCTGCCGCGTATGTTTGAGGACGACTTGGCCACATAGGTGCTCGTAATGGCACGAGACGGTCATCCTGTCGGCTGTCGCGAAATCAAACAGAAGGCAACCCAGATGCTGCTGCGCGTACACGGCATCCAACATCTCCCGAATCTGTCCACCGGCTGGTACAGTCGGTTCTTGGTCCGTCACCTTCACCTCAAGATCTTGAAAGCACAAGTGCTCACCAAGTCTCGCAATTCTGTCGACTCCACTACCATTGTTGAGTTGGTCCACCAACTCGCACATTCGGCGTCATTGGTCAACATGGACCCAACACGGATTTTCAACATGGATGAAACCAGCTTCTCTCCTTCGAAGAAATCCAAGAAGGTGGTCGTCCACAAATCAACAACATCTGTCAATGCCAAGGAGTCCACTGCTTCGACACATGTTACCATTGTGGCGTGTGTTGGAGCAGATGGAAGGATGCTACCACCGCTGTTTGTCCTGCCTGGTCAATATGTCTCAACTGCAACCTGTGACAGTCTCACAATTCCTGGCGCTGCTGTGACGACGTCTAAGAAGGGTTGGACCAACTCTTTCATATGCCGTAAGTGGTTGTCCATACTTGACGCGAACATGCCGTCGAGAACACAGCGACCGATTCTGCTCATCATGGACGGCTGCTCATCGCATTTTTCGGAGTTCATTTACGCTGAAGCCAAGGCACTCAACATTTTGTTGCAGTTTCTGCCGGCGAATGCGACCCATCTGTTGCAACCCCTGGACTTGACCGTGTTTCGCCCCTTCAAACAGCCGATTCGACATGCGGTGGCCGACTCGATTTGGAATGATGTGCCAACAAACATCAACAAGCAGAGAGCGGTTGCGATTTCATGCGATGTTTGGGCGAATTCGACCAGCACGGCTGCCATCCAAAATGGCTTTTTGTGCACTGGATTGTGTCCGTTGTCTCTGGACAAGATGATGTACCGGCTGTCGCTTTTCAAGCCATCTGCTCTACCAAGCAATGAATTGGATGATTCCTGGGTGCAAGAAATCGACATGGTGCGTGGCGAGGTACGCGACAAGGATCTTCGGAAACCTCAAGTGAAGACGTCGAAGAAGTCCTCGAAAAAGACTTTTTAAGTTGGAGGCATGTTTATTACGTCGGCCTACAACGAGTTGCTTCAAGCTCAAGCTGCAGCCAAGCCAAAGCGCAAGAAGAAGAAAACTGGGCAAGGGGAAGTGGCGTTGCCGGTTGCACTGAGCGACGGCAACGTAGTTGTTGAATGTGTTGTGTAGGATGTAAATCAATCCATTTTTTTGCATTTGAAATATTTTTTTCGATTAAATTCTATCGGACGAGGTTTATGCTTCGAATTAATTCTATTGGACAGTTTATTTACGTATGAAGCCACTACACTACTTGGATTTAATTCGATTGAATATGGTTTGAGTAGAATTACAGTGAATTAATTTTATTGGTCAGTATGTGTGAAGTGATTATTTTACTTTGTGGAGCTTAATTATGTGAACACAAGACAAGAAATCATACATTGATATAATAGTGACGTTTATTGGGATTTCACAGTTTTCCAAAGCATCGTGCCCACCTCGAAGGATGACCTTCACTGGCT